CAATCACACGCTGCTCTTTCGTATCTCCGGAGATTGAGGGGCTCCGCAATGTCCGTGCGGGTACATACGTATCATCGGGAGGCCCACGGGAGGCACAAGGTCAGTGATCGGCGGTGACTCGGGGCCCGCAGACTGTTGTCACAGAAACAGTACATACCACAGCAGTGGGGGGCCCGGTTTAGCGACATGCCGTGCAAAGCGACCACAAAAATCGCGCGAGGTCACCACTGTACGCCAGCTAGCTGCACGCCGACTAGTAGCCGCTACACCCGCAATACAATTGTAGCGACCAGCCGTGGGTTGCGACGAGATTCCCTCCGCAGACTACAATAGGGGACGTTAAGCCCCCCCCCCCCCACCGTATGCTGATTGATGCCCAGGTACAATCTCTCGGGGCGGATCGAAATTTGGGACGATTGGAGAGCTTAAAACATCAACTAGCAGTAGAGGACAGGCAAAAAAAACGCCACCCTGACCACACTTCTGTAAGTCATCCCGGGGGCTCAGCGATTCAGTTGGTGAACTGTCAATCTTCTGACGTTCGGGACGTGAGTTTGAAGCTAGGTGAGGTTAAGTGAACCGAAAGTTTTCTCACAAAAATACGGTACCCTATGTGTGCGTTTACACTAAATATGTTTTTGGTGTCAATTTCTTTTTGTTGAGGTTTTGGGTCAGAATAGTCCAGACGGAGATTAACATGCATGTGTACGCAACACGGTTGACGAGAGAAAGGATAGACGAATGCTTCCTCGCGATAAACCAGCACATTATTAAATATTTTTCGAACGTAATGGGAACTGCTGCTGTCAGCAGCTGTTAACTATTATTTTTTGTGCCTGTCTTCATGTGGGGTCGCTTGCGACTGTCGAGAGCAAATAATAGTGTCCATCCTTCGAGCATGCATGCTCAAGCAGTTTACAAAGGCCGTTGTAATCACTCAAAACGACAGGCGAACAGCACCTAGTGAACACCTTGTACAGAGATAGCGCCAGCACTTCAAAATCAAGAACCTCTAGTTTTAGCCGGAGGTTGGGGTTCTCAGCAATCCCCACACAATTTTTCAGTGTATGGGCTTAAATAGACTCGAAACACGCCCAGTACCCAGCCGGTTTCCCTCCATTCACTGTGAAGACTCCACATCCCGTTCGACTACTGTGGTGATATCTCGAATGGGTAGTCTTTCTGTGTTTGTATTGTACGTTTCCTGAAAAAACAGATGCTTGGTGGGTGGTTCTAACATCACTCTCCGTCCACCAAAGAAACGGCACCAAAACTTTGGGGGGAAAGATGCTGAGTCTTCGCAGGAGTATGCATCAATCATTGCTTCCGACCAACAAGGAAGGAGGTCTGCTGGATCTACCTATGCATATATATCTACACTGCCGTTATATCGACGGTCGGTAGATACGATACCCCGTACGTGAACGTCCCGCCGGGGGTCACACATGCGTACAATATCCGGGTTTGGAAAAAGTATATTTACTTACATACCTTGTCACTGTTACCCGCAGGGGAGATGTCCCTATATGCTGTCTGGGAAATCGTAGACATACAGGTACTTTCTGACGCTATGAATCCATTGCTAATCTGTCTCAGACTCTTTTCTATGATAGAGATGGTTTCGTTGTGTCATATTAAGAAAAAAAAAACACACACACACACAACGAGTTCTTCAACTCTGTACAATACATTGACTCCTGCGGTGCATGGAACGGCGGGCGACCAATCAAATGATAAATTGTTCCAAATGTAATTGTGTGTACGCAAGCTCCCTATTTTTTTCTCTTAGTCAGGATGAGACATGTTACCGGTCGCCCCGATGGTCAAGTGGGTTCCCTCGCAGCCTACTAAGGACCAGGTCATGGGTTCGAGTCCCGGCAAAGAAAGTTCTTTTTCTCACTAGATAAATTTCTGGTCTAAAGGGTGGTAGCTACGCGCTGCAGCACGTTGTTCGTAAACTAGATCGACTTCGTACGTCGCGAGGGAAGGGATTGCTGTACCCTTCTCGCGATAAAAATATCGCAGGCAGGGACCGCAGGAGGGGGTCCACCCCCCCCCCCTCCTATGTGACCCCGGTCGGGTCGTCTAGCTAGTACAGGTGGAGGAAGGGGGCTAGAGAGGCAGACGACAGAGCCCAATGATGGGAGAAAAAAAAAAAAAAAAGTATCGTTTGGTTTCGGGGAGAAAAGGGCATCATCGCATTCCTCAAGGCTGTACCATCACAAAGGACTACCCGCTCGAGTGTATTGGTGTATTCGACATGTAGATACTTCTGATATGATGAGACATGAAACAGCCCCCGTTGCTCCCGCGCAATCCCGCGCCGCATTCGGAACAGATCCCCCACACATCCCCGATGATTGGAGACACCAAACACATACTTGAGGGAAAACGAGATACTTGCTTCTTCAACTTCTCCTTGAGAGAGACGGAGAGAGCCGGTTGAGGAAGGGATCCTATATTTTAGCTTACCACGGTCCATGACGACCCTTCCGCCCGGGAGCCTTGTCAGCCGCCCCGCTGCTCCTCCTCCGCTGCTGTGCTAGGTGTCCGCTGTTCAATACGCTCCGCGGGCTAGTACTGGCTTGTGGCTGTACCCAAACAAACGGCTGCTGCTGGGACCACAAGCGCAGACGCACCACACACGACAGCCGCCCTTGGGTATTCCAAACAACAACAAAAATAGAAAAATAGTGCAAACGCGGTTTGCATGCGTCAGCGTTCAAGAACAATTCGCCCAAGTTACTCACTACTAGTCGGCGGGCGTTGGAGGAGAAATACAATATATGTACTGCTGTATGCATAGATGGACTGGTCAACCACACAACGCGGCTACACTTCAGGTTTTCGGGCGCGTGAAGAAAAAATAGGGCAGCGGCGGTCGGTCCATCTCCGACATGCACTGCTGTTGCTGAAGCCGATCCACAGTGCGGTATAGACGAACACTCGCTGCCATACACTAACTCTCAATCAGTAGGAGGGAGATCGCTACACGCCAAAAAGACTGCTGCTGCTACTGCTGCTGCTGTTGTCAGTCCTTTGGGGAGTGTGTCGACAAGTTGAGGTCACAGCGATGTATACACACACACGGAGTTATGCGCTGATGAAAATACTGCTGTAGCCGCGCCGCACGGGAGCTATGACCCCGGGTCGGTCGCAGCCACCCACCTCCCGACACGCCGACAGCTTCCTCGACTGCCCACTTAAGACTTCGGCCTACTTTCAGAGCTGGCAGAAGTCGAGGTACACTGAGGTCTATCTCCGGTCTGCCTACAGCAGTGCGAGTAACGGACAGCAGGTCGCGCGGCTGATCCGCCAATGGGTACGGTACGGTAGCGTTTCGTGCTCGTTGTTGTTTGATCGCGCGTGTGTCTTGGCGAGTACAGCAACCATAATTCCCCTCTCACCTCCGTGCTGATGTTCTTGCTGCTTCACGCACTGGCCCAGCTTCTCCCAGTCGTTGTCGGTGTGGGCCTTGAAGGGAATGGTGATGTGATGTGTCTCCAGTCTCCAGCGTGGTGGTTCAGGGAAAGGTTACAATATGACTCTTTATAATTACAAATACCATATTATAAAGAGTCATAACCTTTGGTTCAGGGAGAGCCGACACGGGGGCAAGAGGAGGGCGAGGGTAGGGGGGGGGCAGAAAAAATCTATTTCGCGGCGCATCCGTGTAGAACGGCATCCCGGCGCATGCATGGCAACAGGCAAGCAAGGCGGAGGCCGCATGATTACTATACAGCTGTAGATGCATGCGTTGAGTGAGGCCAGATGGCCAATCACCCATATCACACACAATAACGGTTGTCCCGCCAGAGTCTCCAACGGCATGTGAAAACACCCCCGACGTCGAGGCCTTTGGGTGCTGCGCCGGCAATGCATTATTATTGATATTACTTTTCTTCCTCGAGTCGAGCAGACGGAAGACTAGATGTAATACACAGCACGCAGCAGTCGAGCAGCAGTAGCAGTAGTGCAGGCCACCAACCAATCAAGACACTCTCCAGGAGAAGGTTCTCAAGGGCTTTTCGCGCGCTGTCACGACCCTGATCCGCCCGCAATGGAGCCAATGTCCTAGTAGTGGATATCGGTTTTGCTGCCAGCCCGATTCTGGTGCCAAGCGAGCCCGTCGAGACGCCACAGGAACAATAATAACGCCATACATACGACGTCAACTTGCTCTTGCTGTTTGTTACGGCTGCAATTGGACTCCCCGAGAAGTGATGGATAGGGCTCATAGAGGCGGGCGCATATGTCGTGGGTTCGATGGAGCTATGCCATAGCTGTGTTCTTCCTGGTTCTTCCGATGGTGCAGTTCATCAGTCGGCTTAGTTAGATAGATAGAGAGAAGAAACATGAACGAACGCGGGGCTGATCCGAAGCGGCTCTATCTAGGCTATTCTTTGCATGCATGTATGCAAGTCCGATCGAATTTGAAATTTGAAATGCAAGCCGGTCATTGGAAGATGAAGATCCAGCCTTGTTCACAGCCGCGGGGAAATTCCTTAGCTGTGGCTCTTCGGGAATCTCCGCGACGCGCTTCAAAGTGGATTCTTCAGGAGTAGTTAGTTCCCCGTGCAAGGATGGTTCTGGTAAACATATATATGGCTCATCTTGCCACATCCATCCAAGGAAGACATTTTTGAGCCACCTTTGGCAAAGTGTAGGAAGGAACGATTGGCCATCGGTAATCGGCCCTGTGGGAACAATGAGCGTGGTGTTAAATGCTGGTTGATACAGATAGATATGCATACGTACGTCTGTCTATGATTGGGTGACGCTTAAGGAATAATAAAAACACACACAGGAAGAACACGGGTGGCCAAAGCAGTTTGTATCTGGTGCACAACCTCCCCACAACCTCTCTAGGGTCAGGTTGTACGCCGACATATGAAGCTAGCCCCGCATCCTAGATTGCGACGTTGGTCCATTCAATAGGGCGGACGGGCAGCGTAGACTACATGTTGTCCAAGGTCGATCCCCAACGTCCCAACCTGACCCGGGGAGGTTGGGCACCACTTACAACCTCCCTTTGGCCACCCGTGGACTACCCCATTCGAGATATACCGTATATGACACAAGATAACACACCCCCTGGACCGATTTTCAAAGCTCGATTACTCCACGACGAAGAGGATGCATAAATGAAACAATACGTTTTCGAACAGCTCTCGACGAGACGGTTCCAACGCCGCCGTTTTCGGCGCTGTAACTCTTCCTGCTGTTGAGAAATCGAGCTTTGAAAATCGGCCAAGGGGATGTGTTATCTTGTGTCATATACGGTACCCACAGTGACGCTTGCAACTATTATCCCAATTACCCCAAGGCTGCAGCCATGGCTGCGTGCAAACGAATGCGCCCCGTCAATAGCGCAGGTCGTCTCCTGTACCCCTGCAGCACCAGTATACGTATAGTCTTGTAGCTGATTCACGACATGTCTCACAGGCTCTGTGCTTCACAGCGAGAAAGAAAAATACTTTCTCTCTCAATGACATAGTTGAACAACGTGGTGAATATTGGTCGTTCGTACTTGAGAGTGAGGATTCGCGTTTGTTTCCGCAGCCACGCCGTACCAAATACTCAAGTCACTAAATATTGCAAGCACGTGTTTCTCGCAGAGATGGTACAAGGGTGCTCATTTCTTGTTCCCTATATCTGCACTTCACAGCAGCAGCCCCGCCTAACAAAGACCGGCGTGCACGTTGGAATTAACACTTCTCTTCGCAAGGCAGCGCGTCATCAAGAAAAACAACGAACACCATTTCTGATGCAGCAGGGTCTCTCACCAGAAGTCCTACACCTCTCAATCAGCGACAGATACAAGTGCCGCATCAAACCAACAAGGGGGAAGGACAAACACGTGGCTCCCTGAACACAGACATTTCCTTCAGGCGCCCAGCAATTCTCTCCACGCCGGTTCAGCTTCACAGAACCGCATTCATTCAAAGTTCGGATCCAAGCGGCAACGCTCGCGTTCTCTCGGCAAGGGTCGCGTTGTACCGTCCACGAGCATCGTACTCTTGTCCGTATTCGCAGGCGTTTGCGACTGACTCACTGCTTTTAGTCGGAGTCATGGCAACAACTCATAGTTCTTCAAACGACCTTCGTCTTGCTTTTGGGCAGCAGGACCCGTTGTGTGTCATTATGGTACTCAGCTGCTCTCGACTTCCTATATCCGCATCCTCGCCACCCAGCCAATGTCCGGGTTGTACTAATATATCTACTACGTCTGTCCTGGCCGTCCAACCTTCCCATAAAATACACACAATTAAAACACCCACGCTAGAACTGAGAAACCAAGGTCACCAAAGGCTGCTCTTGCCCCCATACAAAATGGGTAAAAGATCTGACGAAACACAGGCCGCCTGAGACACGGAAAAAAATACGTACGAAGTACTCCATGGATATCTGCCATACAAATCTGTTGAGAGACAAGAACACCGGCAACCGCCCTTCGCTTATGCAAAGCAAGCTAAGTATTGCCGACAGTGGAAGATGGCGAACAACGCGTATGGCATGGAGCGGCACTCAACTTAACGCAGGACCAGCGGCACCCCTGCTCCGGCATTATCATTAGCGCGATCCATCTTCGCACGGCAACTTCATGCCGTGTTCGCTTTGTGCATGGAACCGAGCATGCAGAAAACGTCCCAACCGAGAGGGCACACCTCCATCAACCGGACTGTTGTTGAGAGCCCGACCCGAAAACAAAAAATAAACCTGGAGAAGACCATGACAGACAAGCAACACAACAACCAACTACTCGAAATAACAAACGGTCCAACAGACACAACGCAAAAAGACCTCCGCGACTTTCCGGCCGGAACCAGCGTCACCTCCCGAACCAAAAAACAAGCCCACCCACCGCACACAACCGTGTACGCACATGGGCCTAAATTGACACCAATACACGAACCACACGATCAACCACCTCTACACCAAAGTAAGAAGCTTCATCCACAACATCGAAAAACAGGAACACGAATGGACGGCCGATAATTTCTGCTGGGGGAAAGGGGGCGGGGGGGAGAAGAGAGAGAAGCTCATTTCACCTTAGTGTCTGAAAACCCTTCCGTCGTTTCGGGGGCACCGAAATCAACGAATTGCGCGCCTTCTTGCCCATGCATTAAACCTTGAGGCTCACCGCCTGCCACCCTCCCTTCCCTCCTGCTCGAGGAGGGCTAGCCTCCCCGCGCCTCCTGGGGGGTCGCCGCCTATGTCTTGGGGCATTGGCCACCGCGCTAGACTCCTCTCCTGATCTCGCGTCGCCCCCGGGGACTCGAGAGGCCGCCGACGACGATACCGGCGGGCGATTCTTCCTTGGGGGACCCCCAAAAAGCAGTAAGTTGCCGTCAGCAGCGAAATTCTCCCCGCCTGGCCCACTGGACAACAGATAGGGTGGTGTGTGTTCCAAGCGCTCTCTCTTCTCCCCAGGCTGCTCGCGGCAAGGTCAAGTGGCACCGCTCGGTGCGTTCGCCCCTGGTCTCGGCAGGGGCTCCGCGACTTGTCCTACCCCCCCTACCGTTGGTGCCGCGGGAGCCCCGCCGTCCGGCAGCGGTTCTCCGGAACCTCCGATGGAAACCTTCGTCTCGTCTCCGGAAGATGTTGAGGAAGGTGGGGCCTCAGCAGCAGCGGCGGCGGCGGCGGCGGCGGCGGCGGAAACAACGCCGGGCGTCGTCGCGCCCCCCCGCGCTGATGCTGTCGCCGGGTCCCCGCCGCTAGTAGACTGCTGCGTCGGCGGTTTCGGGTCCAGGCACACGCCTCGAAGGAGGGGGTGGGTGTCGACCACCTCGGGGTTAACGTTGCTGTTGAACTGCACCCGCTTGCCGTTGTCGACCTTGGTGGCTTTCGCTGGAAACGAGGACACAAGAATGCGGCATGGGTTGGAGCGGTAGCAGTCACGCAGTGTCGGCCCCTTTACTGCGTGATTTGCTGGAGTGGGATAGGTCGCAAGGCGTGGAGACTTGTGCCAACAAGGCCTAAGATTTAGCGGGAGACGTGCGCCAGCTGGCGCGCTGCGCTCTACCTACCAAGGTTCGTGCCAAAACCTGTAAAATTTTTCACTCGCACCTGCACTATCGGCCCCTGCCGCAGCGCTTGCAGCAGCAGCAGCAGCGGCCGCCGCCGTCGATTCCCGCTGCCGAAGCTGCTCCCGCTGCTTCTCCCGCTGCCTGAGCCGTCGCCTGCAGCAGCAGCAGCACACCGCCAATGAGACGAGGAGCACCGCCGCGATTCCGCCGCCAACAGCGGCCGCGATAGTGGAGGAAGACACTCCGTCGTCCCCGTCCCCTCCATCTGTTGTCCGCAGGGAAAACGGCAAGCAACGAGCAAACAAGACAGTGTCGTCGCGAGAGTATCCCAGCCTACCGAATCAGACACCGCGTGGCGCCCTAAGCGCGAGCGAACTGTTGACTTCATCACGCAAGCGCCCGACATTCAGATACAGCAGGGGGGACGGATAACTCCCCCCCCCCCCCCCCC